GTGCGCCATCTCGATCTTCCGTGCGCCATTGGCGCTTTCACCTATCCTACCATTCACCGTCCTCACCACCGGAACCGACGTCGTTGGCAGCAGGTTCGATCATCGCCTCCTCGATCCCGATTCTCTCGCCGAGATCTCTCTTTCCACCGTCCGGCGAGCGATGTCGAAAGCTCGTGTTTACACCGACGTTAACGTGATCCGACCCAAGGAGTATTGGGATTACGAATCGCTCAATGTTCAGTGGGGGTAAGATTGTTGATTTTTGGAATTAGGAAAACCCTAGGAGCTCTCCGGTTTATTTTTGTGTGTTCATGTTTGTTTGAGATTGGAATATAGGAAAACACAATCTTTCTTTGGTGGGTGATTTTGATTTTAGCTGCCTAATAGTTTTTGGATTCTGTTCCAGTTAAAAAGTTGAATCTTGTGCAAGTGATACAAGTTATCTGGAAATTGAGCTGATATTCTTGATTTCTGATCTGTTTGGAGAGGAGTTTATTCGTATGATGTTCATGTTATTATGATTTGGTCATGATAGGTGATGATGCTTTTGTTAATATATTTGAGCTTCTTTCTTTGTGTTTTTGGTTCTCAGGGAGCAAGATGATTACGAGGTAGTCAGGAAGGTGGGGAGAGGAAAATACAGTGAGGTTTTTGAGGGGATAAACATGAACAGCAACGAGAAGTGCATAATCAAGATTCTCAAGCCTGTTAAGAAAAAGAAGGTGACTTATAAGTGATATAGTTATATCAAGTTTAGTCGCTTTGCGTCGTTATGTTGCTGTAGTTCATGTTAATGTAGCAAAAGAAAGAAAAGGCTAAACTTTCAATATATAGATTGATGAGCAAAGGATGCTGTTGCCTTGATTAGTTTTGTTTTTGGATTGCCTTTCTGAATTTTTTATGATCTTGTAACAGATTAGAAGAGAGATTAAAATACTTCAGAATCTCTGTGGAGGGCCAAATATTGTCAAGCTGCTTGATGTTGTCAGAGATCAACACTCAAAAACACCAAGCTTAATATTTGAGTATGTTAACAGCACAGACTTTAAGGTTCTGTATCCGACATTGACTGATTATGACATCCGATACTACATCTATGAGCTGTTGAAGGTAATTTATGCCTCGATTTATAATTCCATTACGACTTCTAGTCTGTGAAACTTTCTCGGTTCTCCACAGCAAATTGAGGTCAGTGATAACCTTGTAATTTCCTTATGACAGGCGTTGGACTTCTGCCACTCACAAGGTATAATGCACAGAGATGTCAAGCCACACAATGTCATGATCGACCATGAGCTGCGCAAACTTCGCCTTATAGATTGGGGTCTCGCTGAGTTTTATCATCCTGGAAAAGAGTATAACGTCCGTGTGGCCTCAAGGTATGATAGGCTCCTTCAAAATAACTTGGTTTGCTATCCCATTTTTTTCTGGGCCTGGTTACAATCTATAGTCTTTGTCAGTATCTAAGCTTGATCAAATGTTGTCTCCTATATCAGATACTTCAAGGGACCCGAACTTCTAGTGGATTTACAGGACTATGACTATTCCTTGGACATGTGGAGCCTCGGTTGCATGTTTGCTGGGATGGTGAGTACCTTGCCATTTTGCAAGGCTTCCGATGCTACTAGTACATGATCATCTGCAGATCCCTTTTCAGAATGTTTCCAAAGAATACTTATTTGTTTATCTTTTCTTGTAGATATTCCGCAAGGAACCTTTCTTCTATGGCCATGACAACCAGGATCAGCTTGTCAAAATTGCCAAGGTAATCAATTGTGTAGCCAAACGTTAGAATTTTAGAGGGCATTATGTTTCTTTTTCACATCTAAAGAGTATGTGTTTGACTCTTGACTCAGGTCCTTGGAACAGATGAATTGAATGCATATCTGAATAAGTATCAGTTAGAACTTGATGCTCAACTAGAGGCACTTGTTGGGAGGTAAGCAGAACAAACATGTTATCTATGTATAACTGTCTATAAGAGTAAGATTAGAGCAATACCAATAACTAATTCTCCTTCTCAACTTCGTGTGCGATTTCCACAGACATAGCAGGAAGCCTTGGTCCAAATTCATCAACGCTGACAATCGCCATTTGGTCTCACCTGAGGTTTACTACTTGTTCACTTTATTCCTTTACAAACACAAAACCCTTTTCTTTTGCCACGGTTTCTCCCTCGAGCTGTAACCCTTTTCTACAATGTAGGCGATTGATTACCTGGACAAGCTACTCCGGTATGATCATCAAGACAGATTAACTGCAAAAGAAGCAATGGTACGTACCAGAACATAACTCAGTCTTGTTTCTTGGGTTACATGATTATGATCATGAGATTGGTAAAAGCTAAGTTTGATTAATTTAACAGGCTCACCCGTATTTCGCTCAAGTCAGGGCGGCAGAAAGCAGCAGAATGAGAACTTAATAGAGATGCCTAAGAGTATTTGAGACAAGTGGATTTTTGTTCTCTTATGGAATTCTTTTGACATGTTACAGCTATTTTATATATGGATTCTAAATATGCGAAGTTTTATTGTGATCTTTTTTTATTCGAGTAATCTTGGAAGTTTGTTAAAATGTTTAGCATGGTTCAAAAGATCGACTTAGTCAGCATCTAGGTGAGAGTGACCGATTTTCCTAACCAGAGAATGAACTTCGTAATTTAACGATTGGTGATCTCCCGGAATTTACCGCACTAATGGAGAGAGATCCGCTGCGATTGTCCATGTTGCCCTTTTGAAGATAACTCAGGACTCTGCAAGGATGGAATAATTTATTATCCAGCTTAGGAGGAAATAGTCATCTGAGGAGTGCCAGAGTTAAAGATATTGGAATCCCAGTTTGGAACATTTTTTTGGGTTGAGGTTGACGAGCTCAAGGGAAAAGTTGCATGGAGGTCAGATCGAAGGAAAGGAAGTCGATGATCAGCAAATATTTACGGAGGTTAAACATATCGAAAGTGGCCGAAATTCGCCTTCTGAACAATCACAAATTTCAGTCTACGGTGTTTACAACATCGCTATCAGCGAATTTGCGGATTGGTTAACATCAAGACACTACTCCGTCAATATGGAGTTTTGTCGATTTTTCCAGGGTGTCACTACAACAAAACCACGACAAGAAGTCCGATATTTCTCGGACTTGAGGATCATCAGTTTTATCTCCAAGGTGTCGGTTCAGACATCACGATATAATTGACACAGGAATTTGGCATGGAGGCGCAAGCTTCAGGGACAATGGTTTCCCCCACCGCCAATGACTTTGGAGAGGCGAATGCATAGAAGGAACTAACTTCACGGCTTCTATGCGCAATGGAAAACTCATAGGAGCCAATTTCTTCTTCAAGGGTTTCAAAGGAATAGATAGGTCCAATCGACGAGGGGCATGATTAAAAATCTCCTAGGGATTCCGATGGCCACGAAACACACACTCCATCGACCGCAGCTGGGTCGGTGGTGAAAGGCACCACGTTATTGGGCTACGCTGCAGAAGTAGCTCGTGGAATGG